CATCCCGACGAAGACAGCCATCAGAGCTTGTTGATGCAACTCCAGTCTCTGGAAGCCAAGATATCTAGCTGGCGACCCACGTACCCAACGGACTTCTTGAGCCGATATTCTCAGGGTGAGGTGGCGCATATGCTTTCACAGGCACACATCTTTCGTCAGAGCCTATTGTTGATTGCTCATCGACTCCGACATCCCTTTGGCACATGTATGAACCGCTCCGAAGCCCTGTCCGACATGATCCTCGATCAGTTTGACTCGATCTCTAGTCTCGTCAACCGGACGGTCGTGTCAATGGATTTTGCCCTTCTCGTGGCAGCTTTCGAAGTTCGCGATCCAGCGAAACGCCAGAATGTTCTGGACAAGGTCACCCTGTTCCAAGATCTCCCATTTACGTACCAGGTCCGGTTGAAGTCAATCATGACGACTTTCTGGCGAACAGTGGATGAGAAACCTGGACTGTTCTGGTTTGATCTAAACAGATACCTGGCCCCGTATTTGGATTGAGGAGGCATACAAGACTACTTGAGTTGCGCACCACTCTGGATAGGGAAGTTTGTCTGTCATGGGGCGGCTTTCGCGGTGACAAGTATTCGCAGTTGCGCTCACAGTGCTTTTTTTTTTTTGAAGCGGTAAGACGGCCAGACATCTAGCAGCAGGCAGAGGTGAAGATTCTTCTACTTATTGTTGGGCCCATCGAAAGGTATAAGAGACGCCATGGTCAATTCTTCCTCCTATACGTTGGGCAGAAAAGGTAAGGCTAGAAATTCTACTCGGCGACCAGCTCTTAGGTCCTGCCACCGGCGCTAAATGACCACTTCTGCTGAATTTCATCTGAGTCTGTCCGACGTGGCGAGTTCAAAATCGCTCGGCGCTCTTGCACATGGCTCGACGTTGGTGTCCTGTCCTCGATGGGTTTCACCAGCAGCTGTTGGATATGTATGTCTAGGTGCAACGAGAAGGAGCAGCAAAATGGACAATCTTGCCGTTCAGAAACGAAGGTGAATCAAGATCCAGACTGAGGATTGTTGGTGATGTCCAAAACGGAAGAGAATCCTCTGAGCCGTAGGATGAGTATCACTATTAAGTGAGTTTAGTATACAGGGTCTTACCACTTTGGCGCTCTGCATGAGGCATTTGATGAGGTTATTCGAAGGCGATGGCGATGGTCGATCTTTCGAAAGGATAGAATAGATGGCCATTAAGGCTATTTCGTATTCTGCGGGTTGCATTCTGCCAGCGAGGCTGACCACGTGACCTTGGGGAAGGGTTGACGCGCCTGTCGATTGCCTGCGACCGCCGCTCAAAGCATCTGCATACACAACCCGCCATTTGCATATACAGTCTTTCCATCTCCCCCGTCTTTTCTCACGTTCACACACTCCGGAAGACGGTTCTCATTCGACACCTCTCTTTCTTCCTTCCACTTCAGTACCGCCATGTCTAAACACAACGATCCAGAGGCCATCTCCAATTTCCTCGCAGAACAACGAGATGAAGCACCCACGGAACTTCAACACCTCTTCCTCACATTCGAAGACCTCTGGGAACGTAAGCTATGGCATCAACTGACGGATACTCTCCTGGAGTACTTCTCGAACCCAGAGAGCACTTCTCAGAGATTACCCATCTACAATACATTTATCATCAGTTTCGCAGACAAGATCAATCAGCTCAAACTTGTCAAGTTGGCACTGAGCGCCTCGGCGCAAATCAAGGGTAAGTCCTAGAACTCTCGCACTGGGAACAAAAAGCTGATTTTCCAACAGATGACACAGAGCGGAGTCAATTTCTCAAAACTCTCGCCGATCGAGTTGCCAAACCAGATTCCGAAGAAGCCCACGTCTACACGATCACCGAGCTGGCCAGTGTTTACCTGAGATTAGGAGAGGCGGCAAAAGCAAAGGAACAACTAGAGAAGGCGCAAAAGACTTTGGACCAGTTCGATTTTGTGGAAACTGTTGTCCACGCGGCCTTCTACCGAGTCAACGCCGACTATTTCCAAGCTGCGAACGACTACACATCCTACTACAGAAACTCATTATTGTATCTCGCATGCATAGATGAGACGGAATTGAACACCGAGCAACGACAGCATAGAGCATACAATCTGGCCATCGCCGCACTGGTGTCGGACCAGATCTACAACTTCGGGGAGCTGCTACTGCATCCCATCCTTGACGTTCTGAAACCTCCGCATGCTCAATCATGGCTGCGGGACCTCCTCTTCGCCTTCAACCGAGGAGATCTCGCTACATTCGATCGGATGTCCAATAACCTCAGCAAGGATCCCATCCTCGACTCGCATCGATTGTTCCTCTGGCAGAAGATCAACTTGGCTGCGTTGACGGAGCTGGTGTTTAAGCGACCACCGCACGACCGTGCCATGACATTCAAGACCATCAGCCAAGAGACAAATGTGAAGCCCGATGAAATTGAGCATCTGATCATGAAGGCGCTCAGCTTGGGGCTTTTGCGAGGCAAGATTGACCAGGTCGCGCAGATTGCGAGGATCAATTGGGTACAGCCTAAAGTACTGGAACGGAATCAAATTGAGGGCATGAGGCAGCGACTGAAGGAGTGGGACAGCAATGTCAATGAATTGGGCCACTGGATAGAGGGCGTCGGCAAGGACGTTTGGGCGGCATAGTCATCATCCATCACGAAAGTGTGAGAACGACACGGGGGATGGCGTGGCGTTTTCAAGACATCAAAGCAGCGGTTAGACGGCCGATGGGTAAGGCTCCGTTGAGAGCCAAAAAGCAACCACTGTAGGATTAGCCATTGAGGATAACACCCAGTAATTGTGACTTGGTGCCTAGTATTTTGTTTCCACGATCAAGGACGCGCTGGTACTGTACGGAGGATCGTAATTAAGTAGTACGAAGACGAGGCTGAGGCTGAGGCTGGCGAGGCTGAAGCTAGGTAGCTGGTACGCCGGGCCCTTTGGGTCCAAGGAGCTCTCCACCAACTTCTCCGATTCCGAATTCAATGCACCCTAAAATTTTGGACATCAAGTCGACAGCGCATCGACGGAGCTCTCTGTTCCCCATCCTTTCTACGGCGCACAATTCGATCAGCATTACTTTACGACCTGCTCTCCGATCCTGCAAGCGATTCCATTACGTTTGGGGGCTTCCCTTTCCCCTGCTCGCGTGGGTTCATTGACACCAACTGAAAAGTGTGTTCTGTGTAAACCGCGGATCGTTCATATCATGAACTGCTCCTCTTCCGCGACGGTGCTCGCGCGGCGTGCCTCTGCCTGTGCTAGTCGGGCGAGGACACTAGCGTCGTCGTCGCAGTCGTCTGCACATTCGGCCGCTCTCACGTCGTCGCCGTCACTAGTTGCTCGTCGAGGAGGAGTCACTCGCGGTTTATCACGATGTCGTCGAGTCTCCGTGCAGCAACACCGAGCATTCTCATCGACATATCTGAAGCACCAGGCACAGCCTGTCACTGATGTCCCGCCATCATCCTCGGAGGGACTCGACGCCTCGATACTGGGCAAAGCCAGCGATGACGGAGCGACCGTTGCCCCGAGCATCCTCTCACGAGCGTCGACGGATGCCGACCTGAAAAGATCGTCTACCTCCTCCATCCCTCAGAGCTCATCACAAACACAAATACCACAATCATCGCCGCCCGCACCGTCGTCTTCATCCTGGGACCCGTCGCTGATTTACTCCTCCTCGTCCTCCTCCTCCTCCTCCTCATCATCATCATCATCCACCTCACACGAGATCCCCGACGCGGACGCAGAGTTCCTATCCACCTCGCCCACGTTGGTAGGGACGGTGACGCGGGTTGGGACGATGCAAAAGACGGTGCGGGTGACGCGGCACATACAGGTGTGGCACGCGCACTTCCAGAAACACTTTACGCGGCCGACGCACAGCCTGGTGCACGACCCGCACGACCTGCTCCTCGAGGGCGACGTGGTGCGGTTCGGCGCGTTCCCGCCCTCGATGCGGCAGCAGAGAGACCGCCGCGGCCAGGTCGTCGTCAAGAGGCACCGGCCGCGCGACCGCAACGGCATGGTCAAGGAGCAGGGCGTGCGGTACATTGTCCGCGAGGTCCTCAGCCCCTTTGGCGTGCCCGTCGCTCAGAGACAGTCCAGGGTCGTGGGCAGCGAGAAGGGCAGGTGGGCCGGCACCGAGGGCGAGACCAAGAAGTTGGCGGTGAGGCAGAAGGGGAGGAGGAATGCAAAGGCCAGCGGCAACAGCAAGAAGAACCAGCCGAAAGCAAACCAAAGCGCCAACGTCGTGGAGGGAGAACGGGTCTCGTAAAAAGGGAGGTCGAGAGAAGCACGGGTTTAACCGACCACCGAAAAAGGGACGAACGAAGCGGCCACTGCAGCACGAGCGAAACCAGACACTGTACACTGTACCCTGCTACCACTACTACTTCTGCACATGTATATGGCTAATGTTGATTGGGGCCAAATCAATCAATCAATCAATCAATCCATCCGTTTCAAGATCAAATATCCAAGACACTTAAACACATACATTTACTTACTTACAATGTGACAATATCAAATTTTCAAGGAGCACAGAAAAAAGGAAAAAGGCTGGCTGGATGAAAGGCACGCATAGCTGGTCAGCCGAACTCTTCTCTTTTCCGACTATACGGGTCGAGAGGGGATGGATCAACTTGTGGCTACTCGGTAAACAGTCAAAAGACTATGCACTGTACATATAGACAGAGGATGTACTACTGTGGCAGCTGATCAGAAAGCGAATGCAATGTCTATTCATGTGTCAAGCCACGACAAGACTCGATCGCCCAGGTACTATCGAGATACTCGCAACAATGGATGAATTCATTTCCTGTCTATGGTTCCCTCAGCGCCTTGCCCTGTCTTTCTGTGTTGCTTTGGCCCTTTGTCTAAAGTACTACCGCATGACTGTAATTAGTGCAACGGGAAAAGCTCACGTTAGAGCTCTACCACATGACCTCGTATCCTTTCGTTGCCACACATTATCGAGCTTCATCCCTTCATATCATATCGTCGCCGACTTTTCTTTTGAGATTCCATCAGCAGCCGCGACATCACCTCTCGATGCTGGCTGGCCATCGATTTCGACGTCTGCTTTCGTGGCTGCCTGGGACGGTTGAGATGCTGGCTTCGACTGTGACTCCCCATCTCTGTTCTCCGAAGGCGGTTGTTGAGACGGCGATTTTATCAGGGATGCTCGCCGTAACTTCAACTTCTTCTCTCCTTGGGCGGATATTCTGGTTAATTCGGCGACGAAAGATTGACCCCAGAAAGCACTTCAAACTTTCGTTAGACAAGCTGACGAGCAACGACTGGATACAAGACTGTGGAAGAACTCACCTGGTGTACTTGAAGACATATTTGTGGAGCTTGGCATAGTTAATAGCACGGTGTTCTGGACTCATGGTTACCGCCTCCTGTATGGCACTTGCCAGTTCCTCGGTGTTCCAGGGGTTCACCAAGATACTCCCGTTCAAGCTCTGTGCGGCACCGGCAAATTCCGAGAGTATCAGAACGCCTTTGCGCTGTTCCTGAGAGGCTATGTACTCAAATGATACCAGGTTCATGCCGTCTCGTGTCGAGGAGACAAGACAAACATCTGAGACGGCATAAAGGGCGATAAGCTCGTCGAAGTTGACAGATTTGTGCATGAAGTGGATGGGCATGAACTCGACCGTGCCTGGGGTGGTCAGCAAGCCCGACTCTAGGTGTACCTGGATAGACTTGGAAACAACTTACCGAATTTTCCATTGATGCGTCCCACCAACTCGTTGACGACTGCCCGGAGATTCTGATACTCCTCAACGTCCTGTCTGCTGGGCACGGCGACTTGGACTAAAACCACCTTGCCAATCCATTCGGGGTGGTCTGTAAGGAAAACTTCGAGGGCGTGAAGTTTCTGGGGAACACCCTTGATGTAGTCGAGCCGATCTACACCAACAATCAACTTGACGCCCTTGAACTTTTCCTCCAGCACAGCAATGCGCTTTTGAACCTTCTCTTTCTTCAGGCCTTCGGTGAACTTCTCCGGATCGATGCCAATCGGGAAAGCACCGACTGTGACAACTTTGCCCTCAAATTCGACCCCGTTGGGCGTGGTGGTGAGGTTCAAGATTCGCGAACAGCTGCTAAGGAAGTGTCGAGCGTAGTCGTAGGTGTGGAAGCCAATCAGATCACAGTGTAGAACCCCCAACAGGATTTCATTTCGCACGGGCAGAATCCTGTATATCTCACTCGATGGGAAGGGGGTATGTAGGAAGAAGCCAATCTTGACGTTGGATTTGGTGGACCCGATCTCTTCGCGGAGCATCTGGGGTAAGAGCATCAGGTGGTAGTCATGGACCCAGACAAGATCGCCATCCTCGACTTCTTTGGCAATGGCCCGAGCGAAGAGACGGTTGACTTCTGAGTAAGCATTCCAAGCCGACTCATCGAATGTGATTTCACCAGGATGGTAGTGGAAGAGCGGCCACATGATAGAATCTAGAGTTTGTTAGCTGGACTTGTCGTTAGTAACGAGGACTATGGGGAGCTGTACTTGAAAATCCATTGTAGTGGCGATCAGCCAGCTCGTCGTCCACGAACACGGGAATAGCATCGAACTCATCCTTCAGTCGCTTGACCACGCCGCCAGCCTCGTCTTCAGGGACTTCCAGTCCTGGCCAGCCATACCACTGAAACTTGGTGCTCTTGGCTAAGCCACTGAGACCAGTGACAAGACCTCCTGAAGACATGGAGAAATCATATTTCCCTTCGGGGGAGCGCTTGATGGTGATTGGAAGACGGTTGGAGACCAGGAGAAGTCGTGATTCCACCTTGGGAGGGCTGTCAGTGACGGATGGCATGTCTGCAAACAGAATTTGTCCAGGTTGCCGCAGAAGCCCCTCAATGTTTTGACTTGTCAGAGCTGACTCAAAACGAGTTCGGAAGATGATCAGATGGAGGATGTGAGGGAAGGGTCAAGGTACGAAGCCAGGTGAGAGTGCGGGTGGGTGAACGGGTGACGGTGGGGTATTGGTGGGAGTTGTAAAATGACCTCAGCAGCCTTGGTGTGTGATCTGGTGTTGTTGCAGACTGGAGAGGTGGAAAAGAAGTTGAGGTGACTGTAAAGGCAGAGATGTCAACTTGATAAGTGGATGGATTGCAATAAGTTTGTTTGGTGCTGGGAGGATGAATTCCTGCCCAATGCCCAATGCTTTCTGACAAGCCAGTCAAAACGCAATCAAGATGCAGGTGCAAACAGATGAATTGAGGAAGGCGTGATCCGTATTCGCTAGTAACGTCGGCTGTTCGTCACTTCCCAAGCGTCACTTCTGAGTTCCACGAGAATCGGTGCTGGGTGGCGTGGTGTGAAGATCTGTAACGGCGTCTTGATGTTTATTTGCCGACTAGGAGAAGTTCTGGAGAGGTCAAGGAGTTGAAGTTGTTGTCGAGGTGCGAGGGTCAATAAGGAGGGCCAAGTGACACAAGAGGCATGTGAGAGGGTGTGATGGACACGGTCCGGTCAATTGAGGCTCATCTTCGGGAGAAGGAAAAATTCGATGGGGACGAAGATGGGGATGTTTCTGGCGCTTTCTTGGGTTTCGCAATGAGGTACCCAGGCTCGTTTGATTTCATTTGGTGTTGATAATAATAATACCGACAGGAACAAGAAACAAGTAATTTACCTACTGTTCTTGTAGTAGTACGTCAGTGCGGCTTTCGGATCAGGGTTCCGGGGCAAAAGTGGGCAGTTTGGCAGTGAATAATAGTGGGCACTGTGTAGCGGAAGCCACAGTGGCACAGTCGAACCTACACCTTCCTCAGGCACTTCGTACGATTTAGGCATTGTAGGTACTGCCCACGCCCACAGAATGTTCCACTAATTCTTCAATATCTTAGCCACCACTACTCAATCAGGAATGCCTTCCCTGCCTGTGGTGCCTGTGCCAGGTCTTCGGTGCCTCCCGTTTCCATGGCCGCCATCACCGCGTGCTCCATTGGAACCGGGATCGTCCATCTGTCATCCCCGTCCTCGCCTACTGTATTACACGGAAGTTACTTGTACTCGGTACTGGCAAGCTAGGAAAGTGGAAATGATCTGAATGGCCTTTTTTTCGCTGCTCGACTATTCAATGACATCTCGATTTGCGAGTGATTGATAGTGATAGTGATAGTGACTCGACATTTCATGGTTGACAGACACGCTCTCCATGTATCGCATACACCCCATCCTCATCGCCATCGCCGTCCCTTGTCCTTCCCGTTACATCAAGAAAGACACACCCTCCCACCACTCCGTCAACAAAACATGACCATGCCAGTGACAATTGCCCGACAGTTTGCCGTGAGAAGCCTTCTCTTTCTTCCTTCAAGTTGTTTTTTTTTATCCTTTTGACGTCTATATAATTTCTGAAATGGTGCATTCAGAGCCGCTAACCTCGCCAAGTATAGACATCTGGCCAAGATGGTGCAGGATCTGTTAGGAAACGCTTGTCGCAAGCACAGCGCCATCCTTTTTCATGCTTTCAAAAGAAATCTCACTGCTTTCCCCTGCGGCTGTGGTGCTCCATCCCATCCCCGCTACCCTCAACCGAGCCCTCCAGACAAAAAAAAGTATGTATATATGCGGGGCAAAAAAAAAAATCACGGCTAGATTCATGCTAATGAGTGCGTTCGTCGTCGTCGTCGTCATAACGCCATGGTCGTTCATCAGTCGTCCATCCGATACACGTGAAAACAAAATCAAGAAGCAATGTATGCTATCGTGAGACACGTCGAATACCTCGTGAGATCTGCAATGACAGGACCTTCTCATCGTAAGACGTAAATGCATCGTATGCCTAGTTCGCTCGGATCACAAGTTTGGCAAGGAATTTGTTCGACAACGAATCAAAATCCTTGCGGTCGAACCGTGCGTTGGGTCGACCTCGTAAGTAGTTTTCTAAACACCGCATTAGTTCTTTGCACTTGGTCAAAAGAGGGGCATGGAAATCTCCTTACCATATCTCGTCACATGTTCTCGCACTTCGCTCATCGTGTTGCACACATCCATGTTGGATGCCAGGAGCGCATGGTGCTTGGAAGTATCCCATTCAAGGAAGGATGGGAGCTTTTGAGAGATGGCCTGGAAGAGGCCGACCACGACACCGACGGGCGTGGTTTCCATGTCGTTGCAGAACTTCTCCACGGCCGCGGAATCGGGGACACGGTAGTGGCAGTCAAATTGCATGCATTCCCACACTGCCAGCAAGACTGATGCAAGGATAAAGATAGTGGGCCAGTTCTTGAGCTTGTCTCCACTGTACACGCTCGAATATAGGCTGGACAGTTCTTCGAGCACATCCTTGTGCAGCTCGCGCCACATATCAGCCATGGCACACTTAATTTGGAAGTTGATCATGACGGGAGCCATCGTCTTGCCGAAGAATTTGGACGTCTGCTCTTCAATTTTACCAACGAAAGACTCTTCGCTTGGCACTCCTTCGACCATGGTAATGTGCAGCGTCAAATTGTAGGCTAGCATCAACTTCAAAGCCTTCTTGATGATCTTCGATCCGGTTTTGAAGTAGAACCGGTAAGCCGTCTTGAGCATTTGTGAGAGGAAGGGTGTTCCCTCAAAGTAATCGTCCACAAATTTCTCAAACGTGCCAGTGCCGTCAATATGTCGGTCAAGGTAGTCACTCAGCATGGTCGTCGAGATACCTTCCATGCCAGCTGAGAGCTTGGCCGTCGATACTTCGTAGCCATCGGGCGCGAATGAGTTGGCCTCGATCCAGTCCATCTTCAAACATGTCTCATCCCTGACATACACTTCTCGAGCGGTGACGGGGAGCATATGACCATAGCCATGGGTGATGAATAGCGTCTTCTCAGTATCCGAAAAGCCCTTGATATTACCCACAGAGAAGCCGAGCGAAATGTGTCTCTCATAGTCGAACTTCCAGTCCTTCAAAAAGTAGCCAATCTCTTTGATATCGATGCGAGTGCAAGGGACTTGCCACAGGCGAGCGTGCGACGGTTGACATCCAGCACAAGGTTCTCCTTTGTCGCAGGTCTTCTTCAAGAATTTACACCGCAGGCAGGCTCTCAACTTCCGGATTTCACTGGCTTGTTTCCGTTGCTCCGGCCGGAGCGGTCCTTTTCTTCGGCCAACTCGTTTCTCTCCTTCTGCCTTGCCACTAGGTGATGACTTTTTCATAACCTTATCTGTTGACTTGGCGGCCATGGGGCTCTTTCGGGAAGGTTTGCGGCCAGGAGAGCCGGCTGAGCCTTGGGATCCGGGGGATCGTATCGACGGTGCGGACGATTTGGCCGAGGGGATGGGAATGGGGCGCACGAGGGCTGAAGGGTTGACGCTCATGGAGCCCGAGCTGTGGTCTATTGACAGGCGGTGAGTATGTCCGGGATATTCAAAGTCGCTATCTGACAGGGTGGTTGGTGAATACACAGCCTGGGAGGCACCCAAGTCGAGACTCGACATCAGTGCGCCATGGCTATGCTGTTCTAGGTCTGAGTATGACGATTCGGACAAGGTTCTATTGTGCACAGTCTGGTTAGGATCAACGAAGAATTGTCGCTCGTAGGACTCAAAGGACGTTCTGGGCTCAACCATAGTCCACCCGTGTTCGTCACAGGAACTGGGCTGCGAAAGGACTTCGAGGTGGGAGCCCGTGGGAGAGTTGGTCATTTGATGATACGGTGAGACGGCGAGTCCGACATCTGTCGTCGTATAGTTGATCAATTCGCTCTGGAGTTCGGCCCAATTCTGAGGCATGCCCTCAATGCCGGATTCGAGGGGAAGATAGGTGGCTTCGAGCGGTAAGCCTGGAGCGAGCGGAGCCTGCGACACCGGCAACATGGCCATCTGAGAATGGTGTAAAGACATGCCGTGAAACTGGGCATCGTAATGCAAATCGTACGGCTGCTGAGGATTGGCATAGTCCATAGCAGTCTGCTGTGCCTGCGGTTGTTGATGGTGCTGCTGGTGTTGTTGTTGTTGGAACCTCCAAGTATCCATCATGGGATGTTCGGCCATTGTGGTCTGTCGCAGACCATGGCTGTTGGTCTGAATGGGAGAAATGTTCCTCCTTGGATCTGGCCGAGGGGCCGCTACTTGGTCCATTGGTATAGACCAGGCATGATTTCGGAAGAACGAGGCGCTCCTGGAATCGAGGTCATAGGCAAGATCTTCACTGGTCAGGGCGACGTTGCCCGCCATGGTTGACAAGATGTGTCAGACAGTCAGCCTCGTAGGATAAGATACGCGGGATCTGGAGGACAAGGCGTCTCGAGGATAGACTGGTCGATTGTTGCTCTCGCTCTCGGGCCTCGTGAAGCAAGAGCAGGAGTGAGCTGTCGAGAGAAAGAGGCAAAGAGGAAAGAGAATGAGGACAAGAGTTACAGGAAGTGACCGCTCAAGACGAGCTCGACTTGAGAGGCGGGCGTCAGGTGCGATGGCGAGAGATAGTAAGAAGAGGCGGTGAGCAGTGCATGCAGGGTTTTGCGGATCGTCGAATTGGGCGGGGGTAACACGAGAGAGCGGGAGAAGAGTAGCAGCGGGCGATGTGGGTGGTGGGTTTTTTGTCTGTGCGATGCTAGTGGTTCGTGGGATCGCCGTGTGGTGCTTGGAGACACTCAGTTGGTCAATGGTGAGTGGTGAGGGGCCATACAGAGCCCAAGGTGAGCCAAAGAGAGCCAAAGGTCCCAAAGGTCGCCTGCAGGATGAGGCCTCAAAGCGACCAACCGATAAGTCTCGTTGGACTGGATAAGACTGGGCCCGACTTGCCGACGCGTGGTGACTGGCTGGTCAGGCCGAGGGAAGATGGGAAGATGGCGCTCTGGTGGAATCACAGCCCCATTTGTG